GGCTGCTGGAGGGACAAGGACAGGATGTCCTGTCTGTTCCCAGGGGCTTTGGATCCCAGCCAGACTGAATATTTTCCAAAACATGGCCTGAAATGATTAGGGGACAGAAGGGGGAGACCCACCCCTTGCTGCATCAACACCGGCCTAAGAGCTCACCTCACCTTCCACTGCCCTCATGCACAGTCTAGACCTAGTTTTCACCACACGCCTGGCACTGTACTAGGGAGACCTGTGTGTTCACTCTACTGAGCACCCCATGTGGCAGCTGAACAAACAAGAGGCAAGTCCATAATCTCAGCATTCAGAAGGCCGAGGCAGGAGGATCTCAAAATTTGAGGCCAGCCTGGGCTACATAGTGAATTCAAGGCCAGGCTGGAGTTACACAGTGTAACCCTGTTGAAATAAGAGAGGAGGAAGGAAAAGAAGAAGGGGGGAAGAAAACAGAGAGGTCAGATGACTTACTGGTCACAGGAAGGAATCGCGGGTCTGTGTGGGAGTCCCAGGGTGTCAGATCTGATGATGCTGTGTAAATTCACTGGGTCACTCCTGACATCGTAACAAGTCCAGTGGGTAAATATCACTACCCACTGAAGAAATGGGAAAAGTGAGGCTCAGGAAGGTAGAAGGGAATTGTACAAAGTTGGAGAAAGAGCTCCTGGGATACCCAGCGATCATTTTTTTCAAGGGCACAGTGCCAAACTCCCCACTGCTAAGATGTGACCTCGAGGGACAGAAGCCCCTCCCCTTCCTCTGAGCCCCATGTTTATCCACAGGTCTCCGGGATGGGAAGAGGGAGCAGACAAACATGCAGCTGCCATTTCCGGGGGGAAGACGCAGGAAAAGAGGTGCTATTTGGAAATCTTAATTTGGGAGTTTGATGCAGGGACAGCTAGGCCAAGAAGCAAGCAACTAACATTTGCCTGTGTCTGCCAAGGTCAGCCTGCACTCAGGCATTTCAGGGAGAGAACTTGAGGGTCTCCCATGGGCCATGGCGAGCAGAGACTGCCTATAGGAAGGACTCTGTTTGGCCCCATCCCCACCCGGTGACTAACTGTCTCCTGCGGGTGTCTCCTGCGGGGAGAGGGTAGGCTGCATGGCACAGGGATTGCATTCTTTTTTTTTTTTTTTTTTAGAAAGTAATTTTATTAAATTATAAAAGTTTCCATTTCCGCCCCTCCTCCCAACACCCTCCCACTCCCCCCACTCCCTCTCCTCCTCCCTCTCCATCCCTAAGGGCAGTCAGGGTTTCCTGCCCTGTGGGAAGTTCAAGTTCCTCCCCCTCCCTCCAGGTCCAGGAAGGTGAGTGTCCAGACAGACTGGATCCCCAAAATCCAGTATATGCAGAGGAAACAAGTCCCAGTGTCATTGTCAATGGCTTTTCAGAAAGACTCCGGGCCAGCCACATTCAATTGGATTCTTAAGGGGAACCCCTCCTTTCATCTCCGGTGCACTCGCTAAAGAAGTGTATCTTCTAAGGTCAAAGGCAAGAAAGGCCTGTATACATGGCCATCTCAGTGGTGCCCAGTTAAATTGGAAGTTTCCAATGCCTGCTGGGTTCAGAGAGCTGGAAGACAGCCAGGCTGTTTACCCTCCTCCCTACGAGACACCTCTGGCCCAGAGCAAGGGGTGACAGGCATCTAGTCCTCATCCTCCAGCAAACCTGGCCGGGCTATGGAGGAGGTTTACACCTAAATTGAATTGGGAGCCTGTATTGGCAGCTTGGCTGAGTGTCCTAATGTGTGATTATGAAGTTGTCTACTTAGCAGAAAAGTAGTGAGGGTGAGTCTCTTCCCAGAGACCGAGAGGATGTTTCTCTACAGAACATGTCTTTTAAAAAAAAATAATTTATTTAATTTTATTTTACGTGTTCTTGGTGTAAAGGTGTCAGATTCCTTGGAACTGGAGTTACAGACAGTTGTGAGCTGCCATGTGGGTGCTGGGACTTGAACCTGGGTCCTCTGGAAGAACAGCCAGTGCTCTTAATCATTAAGCCATCACACTAGCCCCCAGAATACATTTTTAAAGGGATTTAGGGAGTGGACAGGGAAGACACCTTCACTGGCAAAGTATTCACTAGGAGGACTCATTCATGAGGACCTGTCTTTGGATTCCCAGCATTTACAAAAAACCTAACCAACCAAACAAAAAACACCAAAGAAACCAACAAAAACAGGGGAGGGCTGGAGAGATCGCTAGCTCAGCAGTTAAGAACGCTCTACAGAGGACCCAGGTTCCATTCCCAGCTCCCACATGGAGGCTCACGACTGTCTGTAACTCCAGTTCCGAGGAATCTGATGTCCTCTCCTGGAACTGTATGGGGGTAACACACATGGTGCACAGACATATATGCAAGCAAAGCAGCAGCACAACAAACAAGCAACAGTCGGGTAAGACGATGTGCATCTGCGATCCTGTGCGGGGGGAGGCGGTGACAGGCAAGTAGGGCCCCAGGCTTGGTGACCAGCCACTCTAGTTGAATCAGCAAGCTCCAGGTTTAGTGAGTGATCATGTCTCAAATTCTGAAGTGGAGAAAGATAGTGAAAGATCCCTGACGCTTTCCTCCAATCTCTGTGTGTGGTATTTATACACACACACACACACACACACACACACTCACACACACACACACACTTCTAAAACCAGGGGTTGGGCTGGAGAGATGGCTCAGCCGTTAAAGGCTAGGCTCACAACCAAAAATAAAGAAATGGGGGATTGTTTGGTAGATAAAAAAATACAGATCTGTTTTGATTTTGCCATAGGTGGGGTTTGTGCAATGGGCTGCTCTCACTGAGTGGAAATTTCCGTTTCCCTTCCCTCTTTCATCAGGGTCTCATGGTGTGACTCCAAGCTGGCCACCTTCAGGGCCTGTCACATGATTCTTCTCCACCTCCACTTAGAAGACCTCCTCTCGTATCCCCCTCCATAATGTCCCCCAGGTATACTACCTTGGAGCGCTACACTTGAAGGTTTGCATCTGATTAATAATTATAATTATATTAATTAATAATAGACTCCAGATTGCCTCGAGGATCAAATGAGAGCGCTCTCCCATTATACCAGCAGCACCATGCCAGGCACCATAAAGCTCTTAGTAAATCTTAACTATTATCAGCCTTTCCCCGGCCAGTGCTTGCTGACTGCTCAAGTTTCTCAGCCTCAGAACTTTCTGTCCCAACATCATTAGCTGACGTAAGAGATGCCCAAAGTTCACTGTGGAGGGGAAAGGAGAAGACAATAAAATAATATACCCTCTGCAGGGCATTCGAAACACCGAAGGAAAGCAGACGCGCACATCTCCACGGGGTTGTCAAGAGCCACCTGTGATCATTACCGTTTGCTTTGGTTTGGGTGTTTTTGGAGACAGGGTCTCACGGTGTAACCCAGGTAGTTTCCAATTGCACTGTGGTGGGGCTGTGCCTAAAAGGTCACAGCGCGTTTGCAGTGGCACCTGTATCCAGAGGAGGAATTGCTCCCAGCTGAGTTCCCTCTGGCACCCTTCAGGGAGGGTATCATGGCAAGGCTGGGGCTGGACTTGTGACCCATTGGGCTAGTGTAGGTTTGGGTACTTGTGGTTTTGTTTTTTTTTTTTGAAATATGGCTTTGAAACAAAAGAAAAGCCAAGAATTGCCCTTTGGAATCAAGACTTCAAGCTTGTAAACTGTTATAGTCATTATGGAAATCAGTATGCAGGTTCCTCAAAATACTAAAAATAGATCTACCATATGATCCAGCTACACCGCTCCTGGATATCCACCCCAAGTAAGCTATGTCAGCATTCCACATAGCTATTCAGATTTATTGATGCCCAGTGTATCATAGCCAAGATATGGATACAGCTTGGGCACTCAGCTATAGATGAATGGATAACGAAAATGTGGCAAGCTGGAGAGATGGGTCAGCGGGGAAGAACACTGGTTGCAGAGGACCCATGTTCAAATCCTAGTACCCACATGGCAACTCAACACCTGTCTGTAACTCCAGTTCTAGGGCTTGGCACCTCACATAGACACACATGCGGGTAAAACACCAGTGAACATAAAAATAAATTGATAAAAAGAAGAAAAAGAACTGGGCGGTGGTGGCGCACACCTTTAATCCCAGTACTGGGGAAGCAGAGGCCAGCCTGGTCTACAAAGCGAGTTCCTGGACCAGTCCAAAGCTCATAAATACATCACAGAATTGTATTCAGTTGTAAAGAGTAATGAAAAGTTGACCTTGAACTGTGGATTCTCTCACCTCTTGAGTGCTGTAATTACAGGCATGGGCCATCCTGTTCTATCGGATATTGGCTATCAAAGCCAGTGCTCCCTGCATGCTAGGTAAGCACGCTACCAACTGACTACATCCCCAGCGCCGGCTTCCCCCAGCCCCGCATAAACTCGGTGTAGTGGTGCATGTGTGTGGTCCCAATACCAGGGAAGTCAGAGATAGGAGGACAAGAAGGCCCAAGCCATCCTCAGCTACAAGTCCAGTTCAAGGACAGCCTGGGCTACATGAAACTTTATCTCAAACAAATAAAAAATCCAAATGGCAAAACAAAAACACCCCCTCCCCAAATGAAATGTCATTTGTAGAAAAATGAGTGCAATTGGAGACCATCATGGTAAGTGAGATAAGCCAGACTTGAAAAGGCAAATACCACATGCTTTTTAAAAAAATGTGGAATACACACTTAAATATACAATGCATAATTAGCATGCTCTCTGATACGTATGGGACACGAAAGAAGTGGGAGGAAGGGGGTAAGAGAAGGCAATGGGAGTGGCTGGAGAGAGGGCACAGTGGTTCAGAGCACTGGCTCCCAGCACCCACACGGCAACTCACTCACTACCATCTCACTCCGGTTCTAGGGGATCTGAGGTTGTTTTTTGGACTCTGTGGGCACCAGGTACGTGTGACACACAGACACATGTACAGGCTAAACATACATAGACATAAAAATAATTACTTAACTATTAATTAGACAAGTAAGAAGAAAGAAAATATCACTTTTTAAATAAAGGGAGTCTAGACTGAACTACAATATGTATGTGTGCATACACACATAAGACATGAAAGTAGGAGAATTATTAGGGTGGGGAGGAAGGAGATGGGGAAGTAGGGACAAGGAGGGCAGTGGGGGCTTGAACAAAGTTTTCATATATATGTATGAAACATCACAGTGAAATTAACTAACTTGTTAATTTAACAAACTACACATTTTTCAGAGAGCTTGGATGGGGTAGCCTTTGCAGTCCCTGAGGTGCTATGACAGAATGTGAACACTTGGGGGCACTCCAGCCAATCTCCAGTAGTGAGATACCAATGCGTTTGAGAATAAAAGGAACTTGAAGGGGCCAACAAGATTTGGCTAGACAGTAAAGGCACTTACCTCTCAAGCCTGAGGAGTTCGGTTCAATCCCCGGAGCCACATGGTACGAGGAAAGAATCAACTCCTGAAAGTTTGTCCTTTGACCCCTCACTCCCAAGTTGTGGCAAGCGCACCACCCCCAATAAATAAATGAAAATAAAAACCCTAAACAAAAAGAAATGTCACTATCAATATGATTTTCAGGGACTGGGTTCTTTCCGAGAAATCCTGAGCTGTGTTCAGAGGGTAATAGGTCACGAGATCTTCGCTTTTGTTTTGTTGGTTTTTTGTTTGTTTGTTTTTGAAACAGGGTTTCACTGTCTAACTCAGCTGTCCTAGAACTCCCTGTGTAGACCAAACTGGCCTCAAACTCCCAGAAAGTCGCCTGCCTTCACCTTCTGAGTGCTGGGTAAAGCAATACCCTCCCACACCGGGACCTTTTCTCATTTTAACTTTGCAAACACCCCATTCATTAGACACTATTTTAAAATGTATTCCGTGTGTGTACCAGTGCCTTTGGGGGTCAGAAGAGAATATTGGATCCCTTGGAGCTGGAGTTACAGGTGACTGTGAGTGCTGGGAACCAAATTCTGACGATCTGGAAGAACAGCAGGAGCTCTTACCGGTGAGCCATCTCTCCAGCCACCCCTCCCCCCAGCTAGCCACGGTTACCGAGGATTTTGTACATAGAGTGCATTGCTTTCCTGATTTTTAAACTGTTCCTATAGCATAATCCATACATGTGACGCTGCTTAACACTGTTAAGTGTACAGCTTCACGAAACCAGTGCACAAGTTGACTCGGGGGAGGCTGGGGAGTCGATGCTTGGACCCGTGGGACTGGTTAGTAACTGCTTGGCTTAGCCAGCTCTCTCAGGATGACTTGTCTCTGGAGAGCAAAATGTCATCATTTTGAACTTTGTCCTCTGTTTTTCTCCATATTGAACTGTTGTGATATATAGGTTCTGTTTTAATAAACACAGTATGGGGTCTCTGAAGTGGGCCCCTGGCATCTAAGAAGTGAGTTCTCAGAGGGCCTAGTGGACAAGCTCCTGACAGGCTTGTTTAGGGGGAGACCCCATTTCAGGAAATGGGGAGCGAGGGTCCAGCCCTGGCTCCCTCTCTCAGTCCCTCTGACATGACGTGAGTCACTGGTGTCCCAGTCTCAGAGTGGCCGTCAGTAAATATCTGCCTGGTGCTGTCTGCCCTTCCTCCTTCATGGCCACTGCCTGCTCACTGCCCTTCCCCAGGCCTGGGAGGAAGCGAATCGATCAGATCTCTGTAATGTGTAGTGGTTACAGGTGTTTCTTCAGTGAGGGAAATACTGAGCATGCCAGACCCAACCAGATGGGTAACACATGGTGGCCCGTGGGGAGCAGTCCCAGAAATTATCTACTGCCCCCCATTGTGAAGGAGATATCAGGCTTCTCTCCAGACAGGGGATGCTGGGAGTATTCTGCTCAGGACCCCACTTGTGACTTCAGTTCCTGTTGAAGCTGGGCCCACAGGCCCAGCCTGGTGCTCATTAATCAGTATCTCCCTGCTCAGCTATTGACCTGGAGCCCTACCCTCATTGTCATGTCATACAAGCCCTGTCCTGTTTTGTCGGGTTTTAGAAATAGCAGTCTTTTAAGCAGGGTATTTTGGTCGTCTTTTCCTTTGGAGTTGGGGGAATCCCAACCGCATGGGCTAAGGGAAGGCAAGAGGACAGGGACATTTTTGACTTTGTCCAAAGGTTCTGGGAAAGGCGAAGGTTTGAGCTCGTCGGCCCCTCTGGGGTCCAGGCTGGGACCTGGTGTGAAGCTCAAAGCCGTGGGAGAGGTGGGTGGTGGACGGTCATTCAGTCAGGACGAAACCAAAGCGAGGCTCCTTTTTGAATGAGCTCAGGCAAGAGTGCTTCCGCTTTCTCACCAGTCAAACGGGAGAGAGCGGCAATCCACGGCTTATGAGGATGCGCACTTGCTCCTCACCTATGAGTCTGCTTGCAGTTGGAGTTGGGACTTGAATTTGACCCCGAGAACGACCTGGGTGACTCCCCTGACATCTCCAGCCTTAGATCCCTCATCTTAGAAGAAGCCACTCTTGTCTGCCTCATGCCCTGGCTTGCTCATCTCTATTCCCATCTGCCCCACTGCATCCCTCACACCTCTACCCTCCCTACATCAGGCTCCACCTCCTAAAGTTTCCTTCCATCATCTCTGACTGACCCAGGCTGACAACCATGCCTTTAGCAAATGGGTCATCCAGGTACTCTTAAGAAGCTAGCTGTGAAGGAAGGCCTCCCCAAGGAGATCCGTTTGGTATGATTAATAAATCATAACCTATTAATATTTGACTATGCACACAGTGTACAGTTCAAGCAGTTGAAGTGCCCCTCCCAGCCATGTACCCTTGTCCATTTGCCCATATGCTGCCAGTTTCATGGGGTGTAGTGACCTCAGAAATTCAAGAGGCAGCCATGTTTGCTTGTTTGTTTTTTAATATGTATGTGTCTGGGTGTTTTTACCTGCAGGTACATATGTGCAGCATGTGCTCCATTAGGTCAGAAGAGGTGGAGGTCCCCTGGTGCTGGAGTTACAGAAGGTAGCAAGTCCTGTGTGTGCTGGGATTAGAACCCTGGTCCTCTGGAAGAGCCACCAGTGCTCTCAACCTCTGAGCCATTTCTCCAGTCCAAGCTGTGATTTTGAAGCTGTGGCAGAAGAGCCACCCAAGTAAACAGAAGAAGAGCTCACGGGTCCTGAGACCATGGGCCAGTGTTGCTGAGGTCTGAGGGAAAGAGGGAGGTCAGATGGCAGAGTGGGGCCTTTTGTTTTTGTTCTTGTTTGACCAAGAGCTTCGCCATGTAGCGCTGGTTGGGCCAGGACTCACTGTGTAGACCAGGCTGGATTCAAGCTTGCAAAGATTCTGCTGTGTCTGCCTCCTGAGTACAAAGATTCCAAGTGCGCACCATCACACAGGGCTCAAAATCTGGATGCTGTTCCGTGTGGCCTGATGAAGTGAGGTGGGGCTAAGAGTAATTGTGCTTTATAGAAACACTCCTGGATGTGAATGCTGTGTTCATCTGGGGTACGGAGGGCAGGAGGGAGGCAGGTGTGGGCTTCTGGTAGGGAGGACCAGGGCCAGGAGAGGGAAGGTGATGAGAAGAGGTGGTTGTGGATGTTTCGGTTGGTAGAGCTGTGAGTAGAGAGGCCCTCCTAGTCACATGCCCAGCTGACACTTTGCCTGGGTCTGTAGTATTGTCTGAGTGGTCATCACTGTGATTTGGTGGAGCAGGCCCCGAGGATTTGTATGCTGAAGATCTGAATAGAGGCTCCCCATTTACCCATAAGGCAGTGACTGCAGTGCCCTGCTAGCAGCTGGGAGACTCCTAATTCCTACAGACATCTCCTGCACTCATCAGCACCCAGGAATCACCGTAAGGCAGCCTGCCTCGTGCGGTCTCTTTCTGATGGGCTAAATCCAGAACCTCCAGAATCTAATCGTTTCTTTACCGTAAAACCCTTTACCCAGGAAAGCCTGACATATAAAATGAATAGAAAATTCTAAGTCCAGGGCAGGGACAGGGCTCAGCTGCTGGAGTGCTTGTCTATCACACACAAGGCCCTGGGTTTGGTCCTTGGCACCCCACAAACACTGTCATTAGCCTCCACCCATTTAGATACCCGGCACACCCCTCATCAGCTTGGCAACGGAAAAATGACTCAAGGGCTGGGGATGTAGCTCAGAGGCAGTGCGCTGGCCCAGGATGCAGGAGTCTTCCCCCTCCCAACACTGTACGGGGTAGGAAGGCAAAGGGCGACTCTAGGGAAGGCCACAAAACAAAAAACAAACAACAACACACACAGAAAACAGTGGTACTGGTCCAGCCAGCTGGAGGCAGAAGTGACACCCAAACAGAAGCAGAGCCATTGAGGAACGATGCAGCCTCAGCCGAGAGTAAATGCAGGCATCCAGCATCTCCCTCATGCGGCTTTTGATCTCTGTGGATTCCTTGTTTTGCCAAATTCTACCAGGAGTCCGGGAAGGCCTGACGCCTCCTGGGGTGGGAGGAAGGGACTGGAGGAGATCTGACCGTGCTCATGAGGGAATTCATCAACGGGAGCTGTCCCAGGGAGGACAGCAGCAGGGCCCAGAAGATGGGCATTTCAACACAGCTTTTTTGTTTGTTTGTTTGTTTGTATTTTGTTTTTTGAGACAGGGTTTCTCTGTGTAGCCCTGGGTGTCCTGGAACTCTCTCTGTAGACCAGGATGGCCTTGAACTCACAGAGATCCCCCTGCCTCTGCCTCCGGAGTGCTGGGATTAAAGGCGTGCGCCACCACAGCCTGGCTTGAACACGTCTTGAAGCATGCGAAGTACTGTGGTTTGAATTCCGTCTCCCAGATCTTGTGTGTTTGACGTGTGGTCCCTAACACAGCAGAGCTGATAGATAAGAACTTTGGGGGAATTGACTGGAACTGATCTGCTTGTGGATTTATGGGTAATAAGTCATAGCAGAAGTGGGGTAGCACCATGAATCTGTCTCACCTTGATGCCCTCCACCATGTTATACAGGTCGATGACGCGCAACACATACCAGTACCGTGTTCATGGGCTTCCTGGCGCCCAGAACTGTGAGCTAAACATATCTCTTTATAGATGGCCATGCCTCTTTATTTTGTCACAGCGATAGTAAAGGGATCGAGACACCAGGAAATAGGTGTTTCATCACAGGGAAGAGCAGGCAGCATGCTCGGAATTACAAAAGCACCCGCTAACTGAATTGTTTATTTAATCATGATTGTTTGTTCCATTGATCGACTCTGCCGTGTGTACTTGGTGAAAAGTCAACATCCAACTGGGCAAAAGGGCATCAGATGAAGAGCGGCTCTCCCTTTCACCCCTGATCCCCGCTACCCGCTCCTTCCCGAAGCCCTTCTCTCCGCTCTGCTTGTATTCTCCCACTCCAACAAGGGCAGCCTCTGCGCTCCAGTACTTGCCACACATCCTGTGTGTGTACATGATCCTGTTAAGATCCCCATCCTTTCACTACCACAACAAGAGAAAGAAGGGGTTTTTTTCCCCCCCCCCCCCCCCCCCCCGCCCGCCAGCACTGTGCCACACAGAAAGAGCTGAGGGACTAGAGTGATGTTTTGGCAGTTAATAGCACTGGCTGCTCTTCTAGAGGACCTGATACCCCCATGGCAGTTCACAACCTTTTATCTATAGCAATGGTGTTGGGATCCAATGCCCTATTCTGGTTTCTGTGGCTACCGCAAGCATTTGGTGGAGGTATCTTGCAGCAAAACTCCCACAGCATGTTAAGAATAAACACATCTTTTAAAAAAAAAAGTTGTTGAGGGAAGATTTTTGTGGATAAATGAGTCATAAGATGTTGGAATGACAGACCTCCAAGACTGTAGAAATCAAACTTGGTGAGCAGAACCGGGGAAAATCTCAGCAGTGTGCTAAACTGAGAATTCCTGAAGCTGAGGGTCTGTGAGTGGGAAAAACTCTCGTCCAGACTTCTTGACTAAGAACCATTAGTGACTTAGAAAGGTCCTCACTGTCCTTCAGCTGATTTATTTTGGGCTGGTGAGGTGGCGCAGAGGGTAGAGATGCTTGTCATGTAAACCCGTTGACCTGAGTTCAGCTCAGGACCCACATGGCAGAGGGAGAAAAATGAACTTGCAAATTGTTCTCCAACATACACATGTGTGCTGTAGTATGCACACACCCACACACGTGCTCACCCTCCCCATACAAACACATAAATAAATTCAACTTTAAAATCTAAAAATAGATTTAATATTTATTGTTTTTTATCAACACCAGGGAGGGACTGAACCCAAGATATTGTGCACGCTAGTCAAGCCCTCTATCACTGAGCTAGCTTGCACCTTCTCCACCATTCACATAGAAACTTATCTTTTAAATATTTGTTTTTGCAGTGTGTTTTATATTTATTGAGCACCTAATGTATTTATTAACCAATATTAATTAAGCAAATATTTTGGTCAACATTAATATAAATGTCACGCTCTGCAAGTGAAGCTTCAAGATTAATTACCACGGTTTAAACCAACGAGCCCGTGTTAACTCATGGTTTGGGGATGCTGGACTTCAGGAAGGGCTTAGGCGAGTGGGTTCTGTATTAGGGTCTTCCATGACGGTGCAGGGAAGTGTCACTGGACCCATGTTCGCTAAGCAGGCTTAGTGGGCGGGACCATTTGTTTAAATACAGCTCATTTCCGTCTCTGCCTATTGGCAATAAGCCTCAATGTACCTCCATGAATCCGTGAGTGTCTTCATCATGGCTCCCTCATACCCCAGAGCAGGGGATCTAAGGCAGGAAGATGGAAAACACAGTGCCTCAGAAGCCGTGTTCTACGGCTTCCATGGTCTCCAACGTTTGTTCAGGGCAGCCCAATCTGTGGGGGTTGACTACACAGTGGTATGGATACTAGAGAACTGGGACTCTTCAAGGGACATCTTGGGACTAGCTAACACAGCAACGCTGAATAAAACTGTCCAAGTTCCCGCTCTTGTGAAGCTAGCACCCTAGGAGGGAAGGGGAGAGGACGACCATAAACCAATAAGCAATATATAGATGCTTTTGGAAGTTTTCAGGGCAATGAAGAAAATCAAACAAGATGACAAGTTAGAACAGGGCTGAGATGCTAAGATCTCAAGCCAAGTCCAGCCCGCTGCCCGCTTTGCAGAAGAAGTTTGCTTGGCATTCAGCCATGCCCATTCCCTTCAGATAGCTTAGGGCCCTTGCCTGTGGTAAGGGTAGACTTAAACCATTACAATGGAGATTGTTGAGCTTGCAGAAGCTCCTGTATGTAACTATATTTACAGAAGGCGTCTCCAGGAGACCACACTGGAGCGGAGACCCAAAGGGGTAGGAGGAAGTGGCTGTGATCAGAGCAGGGGAAAGTGTGTGCCAGGCAAAAGAGACCTCAGGAAGGAGCTGTGAAATGGGGAGCCCTTGGGCATGTAGACACACAGGAAGTAGCTCAGAGGTGGGGCTGGGAAGACCACAGAGGGAAGACTAAACATGAGGTGGGAATATAGGGAAAGATCCGGATCTGCTTATTGGAGGGGAGGACTCAGGGCCCTAGTGAGTCTGAGGGGCGTTTTGTTTTGTTTTGTTTTGTTTTGTTTTTGTCTTTTTGAAACACAGGGGGTTTTTCTGTGTAGCCCTGACTGTCCTGGAACTGACTCTGTGGACCAGGCTGGCCTTGAACTCACAGAGGAGTTGTTTTTTTTTTTGTTTTTTTTTTTTTTTTTTTTTTTAATATGAGTGCAGGCAGCACACCATAGCACATTTGTGGAGGTCAGAGATTACTTGTAGCGTTTTTTTCCTTCCATCCGGTCTGTCTGGGGGATCGAACTCAGGATGCCAGGCTCAATAGCAACCCCCCACCCACCCACTCAGTCAGCCCCAAAGTGCCCGGGAGGTCCTTTTGTTTATTAGCTTCTTTGTCTTGAGATTTGGGCTTGCCCTGTAGTCAAGGTTGACCCCCAACTCACGACCTTCCTGCCTCCTCCGGCTTTCAAGTTGTGGCATTATAGGCGTGAACACCCATGCCCACAGAGCTTGAGTTTTGCTGCAAACCTGATGGAGGCCCTGGAGGGGTTTCGGTAGGGGGAAGTGGGGTATGGTGGGGCTGATAGCTGTGCCTGCTCTGGTTTAATCCCCCACAACTGTCCCCTCAGCGCAGCTTTCCCAGACAAGACCTTTGATTACACACACACACAAGCCTCGGTGGTCCCAAGACCAGCGCGCCCATTCTTTCTACTCATTTTCTAATCCTCTGTTCCTCCTGCCCTACTTACTCGTCTAGATCCAAGAAATCTGAGGGAACGAGACGTAGATTCTAGAACTCTTCCTGTCGCTGTGGAAGTCAGACAACCTCCCCGAGTCTCCCTTGCCTCATCTGGACAACAAGGGCATAGTTCAGTCACATCCGCCAGTCCAAGAACGGCTCATGAAAGGTGGGGCTGTCTCCGGCACACACAAAGCCAGCGTCCTGAGAAGGGCATGAAGGCCACTTGACAGTTCCGTTTGGCGTGAACAGTGGGACAGGGTGACTGGTCCACTGGCCATCCTACAAACCCTTCTGGGCTGGAGTCCTGCACAAGGCAGCTCACACCTTCTCAGAGTGCCTCAAACGGTACAGGTGGTAGTAGTCCAGCTGGAACAAGACTTTGAGTGACAAATGACCTGGCGGCTCATGTGCATCAAGTCAGGCTGGGCGCTGAGAGAGCACGGGTTTCGGGTTTGCTGAGCTCTTGGCTCGGCCCTGTCGTTCATCGGTCCTTTGCCTTGGGTGAGATGAAAGGGGTTGAGTCGAGGGGCCTTGGTTGTTAAGAGCAACCAGCATTTTGTGTACCACGTAGAAAGGAAACACCGCCAACCAAATGGCGACATAGTACTTTCTTGTCACTTAGAGTTTTTATTTTACGTTTGCTAAGAGAACGTTTGAAGCGAGGTGTGGTTGTGCACAACTATAACCTAAGCACTCAGGATGCGGGAGACGAGAGGATTTCCAGTTCGAGTCTGGGTGGGGCTGCACAGCCTGCCCTATCCTCACTACCTCCTGAAAGACCTCTTCTCCATTTCATTATGTGGGCTATGAGGAGGGAGGTCGGAGGATAACCTGCCGAAGCTGATTCTCTCCCCGACCATGCAGGGTTGAGCTCATGTTGCTGGGCCTGATAGCAAGCACCTTTACTTGTTCAGTCATTGTGCTGGCTAGTCATCAGAGCGGAGGGAGCCTCAGTTGAGAAGATGCCTCCATAAGATCAGGCTACATACAGAGCCAGGCAGTGGTGGTGCATGTCTTTAATCACATGGAGGTAGAGGCAGGCAGGTCTCTGTGAGTTCAAGACCAGTCTGGTCAAACAGCCAGGACTGTTACACAGAGGAACCCTGTCTCAACCCCCTCAATAATAATAATAACAATAATAATAATAATAAGTTGGACTACAGGTAGGCCTCAATGCATTGTCTTGTGACTGTGGGAGAGTCCAGCCCATTGTGGGCGGAGTCACTTCTGGACAGGTGGTCCTGGGCTCTGTAAGAAAGAGAGCAAGCCATGGGGAGCAAACCAGTAAGCAGCCCCTTTCCATGGCTTCTGCATCAGCTCCTGCTTCCAGATTCCCGCCCAGTTTGGGTTCCTGCCTTCACTTCCCCAAACAGATTCTGAGTGGGGTATGTAAGCTAAATAAACCCTTTCCTCCCCAAGTTGTTTCTGGACATGATGTTCCATCATCGCATGCCCCCCCCCCCCCAATACTCTTAAAGATGAGATTTTTAGATCTTTGGGTTGCTGTTTTTGTTTGTCTTGTTTCCTTTGTCTGTGTGGTCTGGAGAGTGAACCAGAGCCTTGCACACGCTGGGCACACATGTGGCAACACTGCCAGCCATTTTATAGGTGTGTCGTCTGTCTGTCTGTCTGTCTGTCTGTCTTTTTCTTTCTTCCTTTCATACTTCCTTCCTGTCTTTTTTCTTTTCTATTTTTAGTTTTTTTTTTTTTTGATATAAGGTCTTACTACCAAACAAGCCTATGGCTGACTCAAACTCACTATGTAGCCCAGGATGACCTCCAACTGGATATCCTCCTGCCTCAGCCTTTCAAGTACTGAGATGATAGCCTTGAGCAACCATACCAGAACTCTTAGTGATCCGTGTAGCTCTCTTGTTTATTCAGAAAAATAAAGACACTAGGCTGAGTGTGTGGCTCGTCGGTGGAATGCTTCCCTAGCATCAGACCTGGCGCATCCCCAGCACTGCATAACCCAGGTGTGGTGGGAGCACCTGTCATCTCAGCTCTTGGGGGCAGAG